TCCCACTCCCTTTCAACATGTAAATTAATCAGAATGTTTTTTTGTATGTAATTTGTATAGTATTTTTTTTTCTCTCTTATTTCTTTTCTAAATGTACTTGTATATTGTTCACATGTTGAAATAAATTACCAATCAATCTGTGTATCTACCATGTCTCACCCGTGTGTTCTCCCTGCTGTCCATCATCATTCTCCTCTGCTCATTCTCATTCAGGTTTGTGCTTTGTAGTTTTAGTTGTTTCCCAGTATAGTTTAGTTCTCCGTGTTGCCGTTTGCCTCTCCTTTTGTGTTCAATAAATCACCTTTTACACCTTCATGACTGTCTGCGTGTGGATCCTCCTTTTCCTCCTCCACATGGCTCCTCTCACTCGCCGTGACAGTCGTGAAGGTGTAAAAGGTGATTTATTGTATTGTATTGTATTGTATCACACGGATATGTGGCTTAGCTTGATCTGATGCTGTTTGGTGCAGAGGTCACTTTATGTGCAGTGTGTTAAAATTGTTACATTTTAAATTTTGATTTTTTTTGGTGTTGCTATGTGCACTGATGTCACACAGGTGAAGGGTGTGTTGTACCAAACAGGATGACACACGGATGTGTGGGTTAGTTTGATCTGTGGCTCTGTGGTACAGAGGTCACTTCATCCAAAGACTTTAAACTTGTTACATTTTATTGTTTGATTTCTTAACTTTTTTTTTAACTTTTTTTTTTTTTATTAAGTGGAATAAATCTTCAGTATCACCTTTTTACATACTGAAAAAGCTGATACTGAACTCAGACTTTTGGGTTTTTTATCTTTCAGTGGATAATTTCAAATTTCCCATCCTGATGATCAGAAGAGTGTTTGAGGGTTTCAGAGATCCCTCAGAACAACAGTAAGTGTTTAAAATGACGTCTTTCAGTCTTTTAGGTAATCTGACAGGTTGACTGAAGTCTGTGAGCTTCACTGGATTAACAGATTGTTAATGTTAATCCATCTGAACCAGGATTAAAGCTTCACTTTACTGGTTACAGATGAATTTCATGTGGAGTTACTGTTGGCTGGTTTAATGTGTGAAAACACATCAAAGCGCTATATAAATCCAATCCATTATTATTATTATTATTATTATTGTTATTGTTATTGTTATTGTTATTGTTATTATTATTATTATTATCATATTCAATGTGTTTTATGATCTGAAGAACCAAAAGATGTCAGACTTCATGCGTACAATAAAAAAGAAGAAAACCACCACAATCATGAAGAGCAAATGTACTCAGTTACTCTCCTGTACTCTGATTACAGTCATGTGATTTACCTGAAGTGCTGCAGCAGCTGCAGGTGGTGGACAAAGTTCTCCAGATCAGCTGTGATTTTTATGGAGGCTCCAGCTAAATGCTGCCTCCTCCATAGTACAATATACATTTTTATTCAGTGACGTCATTTTGAAGTCCTTTGGCTGATGATGGTCTTTAGTATGTAGCTGATGGTTGATGATGAGAGAGGTTATGTTTGTGTTGTTCTGTGGAGATCATTCAAGAACTGAACCTGTTAAACACTCAGACCTGCTTTAGATTTCACCGCTTTAGTTATGACGCACTTATTCATGGGCATCGTACAGCGCAGCGTAACATACGTCACTTTAATGCGACTTCCTTAAGATACTGAAAGTGTGGCGTTTGAACGAGTGGCTGAAAAACTAATGTTTCAGCTTTATTTAAACCTCAAAGTTAACCTCATGTAGGCAGTTTTACAACTTTAGTTTTGTTATTAACTGAAAATATCAACAGACTCAGACTTTTAGAACAAACTAAGAGTCAGATCAGCAGAAACAAAAACACGGAAATGTTTCCTGTAACTGCGTCGCTCTGCTCGACTTTGCTGATTCTCGGTGTCTTCGTGTTTGTATCTGCAGGTGAGGTTTATAAACCAAACGGTGTTTCCCTCTGAGATAAAGAGGAATAAACATCAGTCTGGTTTACATGTTATTCCCAAACAATTGGTTTCGGAGCATCTGCGTGTGTGACGGCATCACGACTTCTGGTGGTGTCTGTGGAATTACCCGCTTGGTCAGCGATGCAACACTGAGACAAAGAAGTGTAATGTGTGTGTCTGTGTGATGTGTTGTAGTTTCAGGCATCAGTATAGAGCCAGGGGCAGATCTACAGAGGTGGCATGTGCCACAGTAAAATGATCTCTTGCCACCGTAGTCTTGTATGTGACAATGTTGTCAGTTAAGGGGGAGCAAGAGACCACTCAATGCCACCTCTGTAGATCAGCCCCTGAGTTTTAAATAGTTGTATAAAAAAATCAGAATCCTTGGCTACATTTTAAGGCATATTACACATTGTAAAAGCTGCATGTGTGTAAAGAAATGGTTTCGATTTTGCCACCCTAAGAACATTTCATTACATCCAGCCCTGTATGCAGCTACAAAGCTTTTTGTTCAGTGTATACAAACAGCTGTAGCTACATAAAGGCAGCATGCAGAGACTCACAGTGTCTTATAATGAGAGGCTGCTTTCTCTCACACATTATGTTCACTTATTATCAGCACATGTTTCACACTGTAAATGTTAAGACATACAGATTCTATTCATAACGAGCTCATTATTTACTGTAGATAATGTTACAGACAGCATTGCTTTAAACCTCTGAAGTCTTTTAAAATATTTTCCACAAACTCCTATTTTCTCCTGTTTTCACTGAGCTCATGTGCTGCAGCCTCAGTGTCTCCTCTTTATCCTCCCAGTGGTAACAGGTCACACTCATAGATCCAGTTACTGCCATCAGATGTAGCGTATAAACAATGCAGTTTAGTAAAAACAAGCATCATGAACATTGACTAACTAAAATAAGTAAATAACCAAGAAGATAAAAATATACCTAGTCTATATATAAGTCTTGCTGAAGATGAAGTAATGACTTCCTTACTGGTTTCTTGGAATAATTTTTGACCAGGACATGTCCTTCAATGGTCATATTAAACAAATATTATGGACTGTTTTCTTCTATTTAAAAAAACATCTCTAAAATTAGAAATATCCTGTCTCAGAGTGATGCTGAAAAACTAGTTCATGCATTTATTACTTCCAGGCTGGACTACTGCAATTCAATATTATCAGAATGTCCTAAAAACAACCTGAAAAGCCTTCACTTAATCCAATATGCTGCAGAAAGAGTACTGACAGGGACTAGAACCCTGAGCCTGGTTCTACTGGAGGTTTCTTCCTGTTAAAAGGGAGTTTTTCCTTCCCACTGTCACCAAAGTGGTTGTTCATAGGGGGTCATATGATTGTTGGGTTTTTCTCTGTATGTATTACTGTAGGGTCTACCTTACAATATAAAGCACCTTGAGGCGACTGTTGTTGTGATTTGGTGCTATATGAAATAAAATTGATTGAATTGCTACAGCAGGCAACACACTAATCCAGTTGCCACCATCAGTTGTAGCGTATAAACAATGCAGTTTAGAAAACACAAGCAATATAAAAAAATGTTAATTAATTAAGTAAATGATTAGTGAGACAACAAAAATAAATAAAACTACACATTTGCTGCTGCAACAGGCCACACTGACAACACAGCACCATGGTAAGAAAAATTATGAATGGTAAATTCTGATTGTAAAACCTGTGTGTACATGAGAGCTTAGTGCTTTCAGTCTTGTTTAGATCATCACTCTGATTGGCTGCTGTAAAAGTGAGCAGTTGTACTTTGACCTTTAACCTCTCTGCTCTGTGTTGTTTCCACTTTCAGATCAGAAAATCATCACAGCTGATTCTGGACAGAACATCACTCTGACATGTCGAGCTCCAAATAGCAACAACATCATAGTTGTAGAGTGGAGCAGAGCTGACCTGGAAGATGAATATGTCTATATGTACCGAGATGAGGGGCCTGTACTTGAAGACCAGCATCCATCTTTTAAGAACCGGGTGGATCTGCAGGACAGACAGATGAAGGATGGAGACGTGTCTTTGATTCTGAACAATGTGACAATTAATGATACTGGAACATACGAGTGTCGTGTCTTTATGAGAGAACGAAACCGCAGGAAGAGAGCTCATCTGAAGACCGACCCCATCAGCATCATCGACCTGAGTGTTGTTGTTCCTCCAGGTGAGTGAGTAGAGTTGAGTGTGTGTGTGATCAGAGGTGAAGCTGCTTCCTGGTTGTTGATGTTTGTTTCTAAAGATGTTGTTGATGAGACTTTGTAGAAAGCAGCTGGTCTGAGTGATGTGATCAGAGTGCAGTAGATAATGTCTGACAGCAGTTTGAAGAGGAAATGGATTCTGTTCTGTTCTTCACTCATCACCTACCTGACAGCTGACACCTCACACCTGTTTCTCACCTACAGGTCAACCAGGAGACGACAACAAAGATGAAGGTGGAGGGAAGGAAGATGGATCTGTTGGACTGATCGTCAGTCTGATAGTTTCTGCTGTGCTTCTTGCTGCTACTGTTGTTGGATTTTTGATCTACAGAAAACATAAACAGCAGAATCAGGGTCCATACTCCTGAGTAATTGCAGCACACTTAAGATGTCTTTGAGTGTTTTCGGTGATGATGTATGGTAAGAGAAGCATCACTACGATAAAATGCAAAATGGAGTTCAACTGCCCAATATCCAAATTAAAAACCAAAGAAGTTGAGAACCAGGAGCTGCTGATCTATCAGCCTGAGACTGGCAACAATTAAAAAAATAACACAGATATTGTTAAAAATCTGTGGGTTTAGACTCGACATGATAACAGCAAGGATAAACATTCATTGTTGTTCTCTAGTTTAATAAGATAAGATTCTGGCTATTAGATTAAGTTCAACATTTTACATCATTTTTACATGTAATCTTTTACCTTTGAGCAGGTTTTTGTAAAACTATAAATAATAATAATTGTTAGTTTTTACCAGTAGTAAGATTAAGCTGTGCAACATCTTAAACAATGTTTCATTTCTTTATATTTTGCTATGAAAAGTGGTAGGTGCAGCTATTACTGAAACAAGCATACATGTATGGAAATACAGCAGATAAGGTGAAACCAGAGTTTGTTGCCTTTATTCTTCAGCACAGCCTGAACTCACTCAGGCAGCTTTTCTGTAATTTCTTTAAGTAGTCTACAGGAATAGTTCTCCAGGATATTCAAAGCTCTTCTTTGGATGTTTCTGGCTTTTGTTCTGTTCTCTGTTAAGATGATCCCACACTGCTTAACTAATGTTGAGCTCTGGGCTCTGGGGAGGCCGATCCATGACTGATGGATACGTTTTAGATTTACTGCAAATGCAGTGTGTTTGGGATCATTGTTATGCTTAATAATGAATTGAACTCCAGTCAAATTCTTTCTAAATGGTATATTGGATCGTGGATCAAATTATAATATACTGTAAACTCATCAGAGATTAAGTGGGTGTTAAAGACAGGGTGATTAGTTTATGTAAAAATGTAGTTTGTTGTGTGAGATTATTATATTATCTTATGCCATGTTATACCTCTAATTAAAGATTGTGAAATCATTATGTAGTTTTAGTTTGCATTATTCTCCTGATTTAGAAAAAGGTGATAACTATTACATTTATTAAACTGATTTGCATTACATTAGACTGCTGATTATTGTGAATATATGACATTGTTGATGATGCATTATACTGCTGATTTATAAGAAATACTGTTTTCAGAGAATCGTGGCCTTATTTGTTTGATTAGAAAAGAACAGAACATACTGCACAGGAAGCCAAGGTCATAACTTAGGCTCACTGAGAGAGAAAGAATGTGGATGTTTAGGTTTTATGACTTTGGAGGGGGGCTGAGGGTATAAGAATGTGAGAAACGCTCAGACACTTCGAGATCAGGCGGACACCCTCCCGCGCTCGTCTCCCCTCCAGATGGTTTATGCTTAAAAGTGTTGTATGGAATAAAGAGATTGTTGATTGAGCATTTATACACCGAGTGTTGTCCTTCCTTCAGCCCAAAGATCAAAAGAACTGAGAATTTAACAGTTGTTGTTATGGTTTATGTGCTGAAAATGGTTTTATTTGTGTATGTTTCTATTTCTTAAGGACATGACTTTCAGAAACAGACCTGCTGCCTCTTCTTTTGTCCTCCTGTTGTCCAGTTTCCTCAGTAATTTTAAGGACACACTTCACATGATGCCAAGATATACCAAGTTTTTGGGTACTCAATTGTCTAGTGCAAATATATTACTGTATATCTATGAACCTGTGCTATTTCTGGAAACAAATTGTGTTTTTGTGACTGGTACTAATAACAAAGTGCCCAAGTTTTCTGTTGTGTTTAGACACACACTGGTTCAGCCGTGGAGCTGCTTGGGTGATTCATAGGTCACTGTTAAGTGTCTTAGCAAACAGAAAAAATATCTTTGAAATTGTTCAGGTAAGAAGAACTGGACTGAAAATGAGTGAATATTGTTTTGTGACAATCAAACTAATCCTCGTATAGAGATCAGCTGTTACAGAGTAATTACAGACACAGAACACAAACAATATGAAGCTCTGTGGATTATAGACGATAAATAATCTGTTAAATAATGTTCAGGATCAATTTGCTACCTGTAATTAAGTGATTATGAAATAGAGTTATAAAACCAAAGACAGAAATATTTTCCAAGTAGCTGCAGAGTCAGATGTTGCCTCTCTTATCTCTGAAGCTTTAACTTTTGAGTCTGTCAGTTACTTTAAATATGTCAAAAGTCGTTTACATATTGTTTATTTATTTTATTTTTTTATGTGAGTTTGCTTGTTTATTGTTAATAAAGCTTTGCAAACATCGTTACTAAATATTTTAGCCTTCATTGAATGTTTATGTTGCTTTTTCTGAGCTCTTGAACCTCCGGATGCAGATTTTATCTGAGCTGGAATCAGACTATAAAGAAAAAAGATTTCCCAGGAAGTACAAACTTTACCAAGAATAACACTAAAATAATCCTGATTAATGCAGTAGACTGACAGCTGAATCTCAAGTTTATATTTAGGTCCAAATATATTTGGACATTGACATGAATTTTGTTTTTTTGACATGCAGTCAAATGAGCTCTCAATGATGCTGAAACAAGCCATCCTTAAGATTCGAACACAGAAAAAAAAACATCTGAGAAATTGCTACAATATTAGGAATGGCAAAATCTACAGTTTGGTACATCCTGAGAAGGAAAGAAAGCTCTGGTGAGGAGGTGGGTGTGTTGATATCCAAATCTACCATAAAGAGAAGACTGCATGGAAGTAATTAAAAAGGGTTCACTGAAAGGTGCAAGCCACTCACAAGCCTCAAGAACAGGATGGCTAAATTGGACTTTGCTAAAAAAAAAAAAAAAAAAAAAAAAATTAAAAAAAGGAGTTAAAAAAAAACATGTAAAAAAGCCAGAAAAGTTCTGGAAAAACATTCTTTGAACAGATGAAACCAAGATCAACCTCTGTGATAGCAAGAAAAAAGTACGGGGAAGGTGTGAAACTTTTCTTCTTCTCTTGCTCTTGGCGAAGGCGGTCGCACTTTTTTTTCCTCCTCCTCTCCCTTAGCTCCCCTGCTTAGCCTCTTGTGTCCTTGTCTAGTCTCGTGTTTTTTGTATTACTTTTCCCTGGAACACTCTCTCACAGTCTGTTCTCTAAAACCTAAAAGAGGAATTATGGATTTGGTCAACTGGTCTCTGAATGCAATTGACACCCCTTTCTCAACGAGAAGTCTGGGCTCGGGTGAGCCTGAGTGCTGAAGATATCTACCTATTCGGAACCATGATAACAGGGTTCTTGCTGATCGGAGCTGGCTTGGCATTGGCTTATCGAAGAATGAAGGAGGCGGAACCGGCTGTTCAAACCCCCACAAGGCTGCCCGCTGGGATTGAAACGATGGGACGAGGCGTGAGTTTCTCAAAATGGGCTCATTGAGTCAGCACGGATAAGATCTTGGAGAAGCTTACGGCTGCCGGGAATAGTCAGAACAAGAACTCTGAGTGCAAACTGGATTACATCTTGGAAGCTCACTGCGGTCGTGAGTTCATTAATGCAGAAACTTTATGGAAAACACAAAACCCTCACTCACAGGTATACATACATATACGAATACTTTGGCACTCACGCAACGTGGAGACAAACAGAACTGGACACTGTGCACACACTCACACTCCCCAAATATCCTCTATAGCCCAGGTCCAGGTACCTTCGTCCCCAGAGGAGCAATCCGCCCCTAGACCCAGGAGATGTCACATTTTTTCTCTGGGGTGGAGTCAAGCAGACTGCCCCTGGTCCTGCAGCAGCAGAGAGGCCAAGCATCCCAGACCACGACCAGACAGCCAACTTTTCCTCCCAGCCCCCCGCCCCGATCATCTACTAGAACAGGTCATCTACTAATCACAAGGTTGGTGGTTTTATCCCTGCCTGCTCCAGTCTGTGTGCCTGTATCCTCGGGCAAGATACCAACCCCAAGTTCAGTTCCCCCCAAGTTCTCCAGTGTGTCCATCAGACTTAAATAAAAACCACTGCAGAAAAAAAGCACCTAAATGTATGTTGATGACACAAGTTGTATAAAGCAGTCTGAATGCTCAAGTAGAAAACACTATATAAGAACCATTTACTAGAGTTGGTCATTACTCAGAAGTGCAACATTAATGCAGAACTTGAAGCAGAAACATATAAACAGGTAGAAGTCAGGTTACAGCCTGACTGCTCATCACTGCTTCTGTTACCTGTTGAAGTTCAGGGTCTGGCTGCTGGGTTGGGGTCATCATTCCGTCAGCTTTAATGTCACTCTGGGTTATTGGCTAGCTTAGCGCTAGCATGTTGTCTGTGCAGGTGCTTGCAAAGAGCTGAAGTTGTGTTTGCAGCATAATGCAGTTGTTTCTGTCCTGGAAGCATTTTTTACCTCACCATCGGATACTCCTATAGAATAAAAATAAAAGTGACGTCCAGACTGCTGCACTATGTTGCTTATTCAGCACAGCAACTGAAATCAGCTGATTGCAACCAAAGCACATAAAGCGTGTTTGTTTTTTTGATGTTTCTAACTTGCGTAGAGAAACCTAAGGAACCTTTGTAACACAAATTATGACAGAATTGTAAATGTAATGTGATTATTAAATTTAGTAAAGTATTGAGTTACTGACAAATATATTGTGATCACAGGTTACTTTGCAGGTGTTGTGTTGATCAGCAGAGTACAGACTGTAAGCTGAAAGAACTTTTTCTGCTGAATGTGATTATTAAATATATTCACAATACTCTGTCGACACCAGTGTAGGGACTAACGC